ATATTCTGGATGCCTTAACCACAACAGACCAGCACAAATCTGACAGAATGTTCTCATTTTCCTTCGTGTCCTGCACCTTTCATATACCTCATGTACAAACTCCATCCCCTAGTTTATCTCTCTTTCCTGCCCTCATTGTTGAGAAGTTCTAAGTTTAATAGGTAGTTTTTGAAAATAAATATTTCCATTAATTTTTTTTGCTATTTTTCATAACAGTTCTGTCAGTTGAGGCTGAAGAATTAAATACTCTCAGAGAAATTAACAGAACTGCTCTCTCTGAAAATGATTGTCATTCCCCATTATTGTCAAAGGCAATCGAGACCAAAGGCTGCCTTAATTAAGATATCCTTTTTCAAAGTAGCCACTGCCTACTATTTTTTCCAATCGGATTGCTGCCAGGCTGCCTCTAAGGAAGAAGGTGGTCCCCAAGTTGTCAGAAGGCAAAGAGAAGCACTGTGATGATCAGGTAAACGAAGACTGTGGCAATCTTTTGCTAAGAAAACAACGTGTGGTCCCAATCCCTTTAGGAACAATAGGAGATGGCAGCCATTTTGAAAAAGATGGCAATTCTTTATGGAATTCTTTAAAGAACATTATTCAGGCTCTGCTGAAAGAGAAACTTACATAAGCAGAATAATGCCAAAAAATGACCATTAATCTTAAAACACAACTTTGAATGTAGCCTATGCAAAACATTTCAGTGGGCTTTAAGTATCAGGGAAGCTTGAAGAGTATGTATTATTGTGTTATTCAGATCATTCAGGACAAAAAAACCCCACTGATATTGAGTGCTAAATTTTCTAAAGGACCGTCTTTTAGATTAATTTTAACTGAAACTAATTATTTATTTGTAAATTCTTCTAGTTATTCTGTACTCAAAAAGTGCTGTAATTTTGGAGCCATGATAATTGCCCCCATAATATCACAAGTGAAATTTTCTCATAAAAGGCCCTGACTATTATACAGTGGACAAAAGCTTTACAAAATAACGTCACATGCATTTTCTACTATGCCTATTTGCTTTTAATTATCTTCAAATACTCTATATTAATCACTATTGCAGCCTATAAAAAAGTGCATGCTGCTGAAATCCATGTTGCCTGCTGCATAATCCAACAGTCATTACTATAGAAATATTTCTTAAAATGCATCTGAGCTTCTGTTTTCTAAATAAAATTTGATTAGAAAAGTGATTCATACAGAAACTAGCGACAAGAGAATCTCAAGACTTTCAGGTTAGATAAGTACCCATAAGTTTGGATGCTTAACTGAACCTCGTGGATTGCAAAATCAGTATATTTCTTATGAAAAGAGTCTCCTGTGCTATTTCAGCACTACCCCTTCTGACCCAAACCAGGAAGTGTAAAAGTGCAATAAAAGTTCTCGGCCAATGGGAGCTGCGGAGCCAGTGGTTGGGGGCTACGCAGATCCTCCCTGGCCACCCCTGAGCCTAGGAGCCCGCGCCACCTCCCATGCACCAGGACTTTTAACGGCCCAGTCAGTGGTGTATGCAGCTTTATCCAGGAGCTAACACAAATCTAGGAAGCCAAGGCCCTTGCTGCTTATTCTCAAAAAGAACGAAGTGGATCCTGAATTTCTAAATTCAGCTGTTCTAAGTAAGTAGGTCTTAAGAATCCTATGCATATCAAGATTGACAAAAGCTTTTCTTGCCCCAAATCAGGACAGAAAATGGGAATCATGTGTCGAATTCAATAGAGATAAGACAGGACTTTAGAACATTATTTTGAAAAACCCCTAAAGCATGATCATTAGGGCCACACTGCAAGCAATGAACCTCACAAATAAACAGACTTTTCCTACCTCTCAAATTTTATTCTAAACACAAGATGAAATAAGAAAGCAAGAAAGAGCGTGATGGAGAGTAGGTGGAGACGAAAGCTCAGGGAGCACAAGGAGTATAAAAAGGTTTTGCAGTTTAGGCATGTAACATGGATGTCTTAGAATTAATGTGCTAAGTACACTTTTTTTTTTTAACTCCAATTAATTTTAAACATATCTTTATTTTGGGCCTGGCATCAAGGATGTGGGGGTGGTATGTGAAAGAAGGGGAAGATGGGGAAGGCAAGAAGCTGAAGAGGGACAGATAAAAGTGGAGAGAGAAGTTAAGAATCAGTAAGATGAGAATGCAGTGAAATATGGATCACTAATGGTGACCACAGTCCTAGGATGTCCAGTATTATGCAAAATTTGAAAGAATGCAGGTTCTAATGGCGCAGGTATAGAAGAGAGTTTGAAAATGCTGCTGGCACTGTGGATGCTGGGTGATGTGGAGATGGTATTGCTACAGAACAAGAAGGACTTAGTGCACAATTCCACACAGGGGTCAACCTGAGGAAACCGTTAACCAAATGTCCCTGATTTCTCTGGATAACTTAAAACACTTAGTCATAGACTTGGCAACTATCTTTTTCACATCCTGGATTTCCTAGTAAGCATCAAGTATTATTTTAACTAACAAGGAGCTTGGCAGGATTTTTTTCTTTTAGTTTCTATGAAAATAAGTAGACTGCTGGAATGCTGTTATTTCCATCTCAGGTATTTTAAGTCTCAACCACATTCATAACTGCCCACCAAGATCCTGCACAGGAGCAACAGAAAACCCCCCATAAAAGTGGACCAAATTATGCCACTGCCACAGATGCACTTGCAGACTCTTATTCCTTGGGGAGAGGGAATTTCCTGTCACTGCTGCTCATTTAACAAGGACAAGGTTAGAAATATTGGCTAGAAATATTGGCTAAAAATAGCTTAACAAAATTTCAATATAAAGCCAAAAATGGAGTTTTCTTCTGCTACTCTGTCCTGCAGCAAGGCGGGAACAGGGAAACAAATGAGGGAGTGTGGTTTAGTGGACTAGGAGAAGACATTGGTTGCTAACATGCCTATCAAGAAGAGTCTAAGTCATGGTGGTAACAAAGGCACAGAAAAAATACACTGATATGCTACCACCATTATTTGGGATGATGAGATTATTATTCTATTGTCAAGTCTCCTATTATTGTCTCACATTTTATTTGAATTCACTGCCTTTTCAATAAATAATGGTCAGGCTTATTGACTGCAGCCAGAACTGAATACTGTACCTTTCAGAATCACTTGCAGTACTGGTTAGACTTAAATTGCACAGTTCCACAGATTCAAATCTCTTCATTTCACAATCATTCAAGAAAGAGGAAACCTTTTACTGTATAAAGAAGTCAACTATTTTAATGTTGATAGTCAAAAGACTGCAAACCTGTTTAAAGTAGTTTTTCTGATAAATAGTAGTAATAGTTTTTAGAAAGAAAGAAATCATACAGTTCCACTATCTGATTTAAGGATATTAAAACCACTACCATCTTTGCTGAGATCTTCTGCCACCAAACTGGGTAAGTAATGATGACTTATATTAATTTATAATCCTGCCACAGCTGCCCTAATCATTTGAACCAAGAAAAACTCTTGAAAATCAGCCTAATACCAGTGCTGAACATTAGTTCCAATAGAATAAAATCTGAAACCTCTTCTCTGAAAACTGTTACAAACATTTAATGTAGGAAACTAGCATTACACGAGCCTCAGAGGAGCTGAGACTGTGCTTTATAGAAAAACTCCCTACACTCAAGACAAGTAGTTCATGTAGTAGAGCAAAGATTAAAGAACAACTTTTTCCATTACAGGAACTATATCTGGTTTCTTTATATAAAGAGTAAAATAAAATCCCTACATAATAGGAGGAGACTTCTCAAGTCATGAACATACGTAGAAGTTATTGAAAGTAGTTATATTATGAACATT